AGGGTTTTTCTAAAATCAGCAAACCAACCGAACGAGATGGCGCTTACCATTTGCAATTCGATTTCTCGTAATTGTTTTCGGCTGATGAGAGACTGGAAATTGGAAAGTTTAGCAAATGGTAAGGAAATTTCCATCGCTCCGTTCCGAATGGAAAAAGAGGACTACCTCTGGAGGTAGTCTACAATTTCCGAACGGATTTTCTGGAAAATTTCTGTTCCATTGACTTTCAACGAAATTTCCGAATTTTTTTGCTAAATAGTAAGCACCCGTGAATTCTCACAACTGAATAATGTATCCTGCTCTGCAATGACTGCAAAAGTTAAAAGGGAGGTTGTGAATGCGCCTGGTGACATATTGCCCGTATCAGGTTAACATTCAAATGGCCTGTACGATGCAATGGTGCAAAGTTCGACTTGGATCAATTGTAAAATACTGTAATGCAGGTCTTGGAGTTGCTCTTTATTTAGCAGGTAATTATTTTAGTATGTTGGAAAGAACTTGACATCTCTACTTAAAGTACCTTCAATAAAGATGACGCCTTCCTGGGTCCTAGTCCACACACAAACTGCAACAGCGCGACAGTGTGGGGATGCTCCAAAAGGCGGTTGGGGTCAACTCCTACGTCATTTACTACTGTCACGAATTCCTGATGAAGACTTTTGACGAGATGCTCTTTGGATACATGGTCCTGAAAGGTGAAGGAAGTCTTTCAACTTTCATCTCAGTACACACACGACACATATTACACATATTACACCCGAAACCCGAAAACTTAAANCGTTGAATAATGGTAAGGGTTTTTCCAAAATCAGCAAACCAACCGAACGAGATGGCGCTTACATTTGCAATTCGATTTCTCGTAATTGTTTTCGGCTGATGAGAGACTGGAAACTGGAAAGTTTAGCAAATGGTAGGGAAATTTCCGTCGCTCCGTTCCGAACGGAAAACGAAGACTACCTCTGGGGGTAGTCTACAATTTCCGAACGGATTTTCTGGAAAATTTCTGTTCCATTGACTTTCAACCGAAATTTCCGGATTTTTTTGCTAAATAGTAAGCACCCGTGAATTCTCACAACTGAATAATTTATCCTGCTCTGCAAGGACTGCAAAAGTTAAAAGGGAGGTTGTGAATGTGCCTGGTGACATATTGCCGTATCAGGCTAACATTCAAATGGCCTGCACGATGCAATGGTGCAAAGTTCGACTTGGATCAATTGTAAAATACTGTAATGTTATATGGGCAGGTCTTGGAGTTGTTCTTTATTTAGCAAGTAATTATTTTAGTATGTTGGAAAGAACTTGACAACTCTACTAAACGTACCTTCAATAAAGATGACGCCTTCCTGGGTCCCAGTCCACACACAAACTGCAACAGCGCGACTGTGTGGGGATGCTCCAAAAGGCGGTTGGGGTCAACTCCTACGTCATTTACTACTGTCACGAATTCCTGATGAAGACTTTTGACAAGATGCTCTTTGGATACATGGTCCTGAAAGGTGAAGGAAGTCTTTTAACTTTCATCTCAGTACACACACGACACATATTACACATATTACACCCGAAACCCGAAAACTTAAAGCTGTGGTACAAAAAAAACGAAATGGAAAATTGCAAGTCTCGTACACTTTAACAACATACCTGGAACGGATGCAGTCGTAAACACAGAAGTTCATCTTCCTCAACACACAGCGCAGCGAACTCAGCCAGCGGATCCTGAATCCTGCGGCCTAGAGACACTGCATGACGCAGCAGGGAGGGGTACTCACGAAACTCATTCTGGAATAACAACAACAACATTGAAGAAATTCAAACTGACTGAACAGCACCGTGTGGAACAACAATTACAAAGAGACATGAATCTCTTCATTGACCTTAATGCTGCATTATGATTTCTTGTTTGCCCTACATGATATTTTCATAAACATTACAACGTACAAGAGGGAAATTGTCTTACCAAATGTGAAACAGCTGGCAGCCTTGAAATCGTTAGCGTCGCGTTTGTTAGCGAGCTTTGGTGCTTGGCTATTGAAATATCTGTTTCAGTGGCGACTGGGTGATAGGCAATATTGGTAAGATGGCAGAAACGTTTGTCCTGGTAATTGATTTAGATTTACTTTTATCACATCTCTACGTCAAAGTATAACATGAGAGTTTTTCAGTCGAAGAATGCTTATTTTAGCGAAAATGTTTTCTAAAATGCACCTCTGATCGAGGAGACGACATAAACACACGAGCTACTTCGCCATCCAATGCTTCTACAGAGATGGTTGGGATCTGGTTCTCTTGCTCGAGCTCTGATATGCACATTTTTATGTCATCCACAACAGCCACTGTCTCGCGACATTCAGCGGAAACGACCACCACTTGAGGACGCTTCTTGAGTATAAACTGCTTCAGTGTCTGCATGTCTTTTTCCTGTAGGGGAGAAGTTAAAATAAGACAGGAACAAACATGGAAAAGATTTTTGACAAATTAAGGCCGTTCGCGCTAATCGTTTCTGCGCATCCTTACTTCGCGCGCTAAGTAATAAAATGAACAATGATCGGGCAGGTGGCCATTGCTATAGCTTTGCCTGAATTTAACGATCTTGGACGTTCGGTGACCCCTATCTTTCTTTTGATGGATCATTTTCTCTATCGATTTTTTACGTTTAGGGAAAAAAATGAAGAAAATCATACGATTAGAAGTTTGAATTTTTTGCAAAATGCACAATCGAATTCCGTTATTTTTAGCTCTTCGTTTATCTGTGCGACGGTTTCAAATGCCTCTCGAAGGGTTACGTTCTGTGAAAATGTTTGTAACATTTGGAATTATTTACGCAACAGACCCACTTCTACAAAATATGACTAAGAGCGTTTGCCTCCGTTGACTCACCTTCGGTATTTTTAACTATAAACCCCTGTAGACCATGCTGAATTATGCGCGCCAATTTTTCAAAATCAGGGTAGTTTTCCACGCGCTTTATCTCTGAAAGGAAGTCGGTGACCCCCAATTTTTTTTGCATTTCTGACACAAGTAACTCATTATCTGACTGCAGTAAAAATTTAAAAACAATCTATCGACTGGAAAATTTCCGCGCGAACGTCCTTAAGAACTGAAGAAGAAGATCAAGCCAGTGTCTAACCTTGTCTTCTCGTTCTTTTGCTCTTGTCGTATTTCTTCTGTTCAGTAGATACTTCAGCCTGAGGTAGTCACTGACTTGCCCTCCTCCATCCAGCATGGCCAGGAAGGCTGGTGTGTCTGGACTGGCGGAGATAGAACACGCCAATACACGGAGCCCTTCAGAATTAGTGTTGTCATCATAGTCCTGATCATCTACATGCTGCTCAGGTTGGTATGGAGCAACTTCAACCCATGATCTCAATCGGCGACAGCATGACTGTTGTTATGATACATAAAAAATAAGTATCAAAAGAGCCTAGTTGGAAAATAGGAACTTCACATGCTTTACACAACATTTGATTGAAAAGAAAACTACTGTTACGCCTCGTCTAACACTAATTCTTGTCCTAAAGACCGGCAAAGAGGGATAGAGACTGACATCCCAGATTTCAATAGCCAAAACAATATTTTCAACAAACCAGATTTTCCACGACTCAAGTTTTGGTCCGGTTTTCTGTTTGGGTTTACCTCACATACCAGTAGCAGATCTACAACTGAAACTCTTCAAACTGTTGATATTGGAGTGGTTAAGTTATGTGATCTATAGCCTCACCTTCACAACAAAATTCTTGGCTTCCTGTAAGAGTTTGAGTTTAAGTTCTTTTTCAAGAAGTGGATACAGCATCTGGTTGAAGGCACGCGACAAAGCGTTTATTCTCTGCGAGTTCCATTCTTGCACAAGGTGGCTAAATTCATCCTACAGAAAGACAATATCAAATGCTCTTAAAACTTTGGCACCAAGGGTAAGTTTTGTCGCTTTTCTCAGGGAAATGACAGCATGTACGATTTCCTTGTAATATGTGTCATATATACAGGAACATGAGAAATTATGAGCTCGGTCAACACATGAACCTAGTGAAAAGAAATGAACCTAGTATATGGCCTAGCCCATCATAAGTCTAACCATACCTCAGTGGTTAGAGGGCCCCACTGGTATCTCAGATATCATGTGTTCAAATCCTGTTCTAGACTGAAATTTGTTTTTTGTGGCATGCTAGTGACATGCTGAACATTTCACCTTCATTATTCTTTGTTATTGACCAAGTTCCAGTTTATTTTTATGTTGAAACCATATCATACATTTTTGTTTCGGTCAAGGACGGTGGCTACTTTTGTTAGTGCCCACACGTTCTGTGCATCACGCAAGGCATGTTTTAAGCGCCATGCGCGCGCTGGGGTTGGCATTGACGCAATCGACTACACCACCAAGTACACGGCTAAAATGAAAGCAAAAAGTGCTGTTGCAACGATTTTGTTATTAAAAACATACCAAAAATGGTTTTTATGGTGCCATTTACCATGCAGTTTTGTTATCTGTATACGTATCTTTGCTTTTCTGTATGTAAAGGCGAGTTCTGTGAAGAAATATCCTGTCCTTCCTTTTTCAGAAAATGCTGATGTCAGCATTTTTGTTGAGATTCAAGGCTAATTATCTCGAAAAAATGTGTGGCTACCCCAATTTTTCTTTGTGGATTCCAATAGCCCTTGCAAAGATCTACTTTTTCCGTGTGGTCCTAACCTGATGCAAAAACCTTTGTATTTAGTAGGCACCGTCCTTAAGATACTAAAACTCATGAAAGATTAGTTAGTAAAATAAATTAACTTGAAAAACTGTTACATGTTACTTTTAATTGAGCTAGACAGCTGCCAAGTGCTAACCTACCCTGTAATATAACTGCTTGACTTCATCAAAGTAAGTTGTAAATGGAAGTCTGGTATCTGCACTCTTGTCCAGGTCAATTCCAAGGCTTATGGTGAGCAATCCATCTTCCTCAGCTTTACACATGCGCAGAAACTGGTCGCCTTTAAGGTCATTGACCGGTTTGTGTTTAATGTACTTGAATGTACTGCAGGAGTGGGACTCATCAATTTCCTACAAGAAAACAACAGTAGGGTGGTTTTAAGGTCTTAAGCAAAAACAGCTGTCTTGTGTGATATTGTATTGATGGTTGATAAAGATGATTATAAAACATGTGTTGAATAATAATAATAATAATAATAATAATAATAATAACAATAATAATAATAATAATAATACACGTGCTTATGTCAGATATAAGGTCATCAGATTCTTTTCCATTAGAAGGAAACAGCATTGCATGACAAGGAATACCTTTGTATGCATCAGAGTCTAATTATACTTATCTGTGCTCTCCCCCAAGCCTCTACAAGCAAACATCAAGTCAGCTAGATAGAAAACTAAAATACAATCAATCTATCTACAAAATAGCTTTGAATGTTTGACTCACTGAGGTTAAAAATGGCAGAATTACCTTTTTCCCTCTCTTGGTCGGTTTTATCTTGAGTTTGGCTCTCTCATAAAAAGTCTGCCTCACACACTGTCGAACTAAAGGATCTCTAGCAATCTGCATGGCCACCATGTGCCTTGCCGCCTCTAGAACTTGATCAACAGTTGAGAAGGTACTGCAGTGAAAACACAATGTTACTCAGTGCACCTGGTTTCTCTTCTTAGAAACAAAGCAGCAGGCAAAGATTAGGGTATGTTTTGTTTCCACAACAGAACAACCACAGTGTAATGGTAATGTGCAAACGATGCTTTTAATAGACCAAGCATCCACCAGAGCTCTGGCAAGTATTTTGTTGTGAAACACCAGCTATAATCTTACCAGTTCTCAAAAAAGATTTGTGTTCCTTATACTCAAAGCTCAGCTGCGGTGACTTCTATATTTTTTGGCATAGTTGCACACTTTCAAGTCCATGCATGATATCTGTCACACACGTAATAGTGTATATAATAGTAACTGAGTACATAATAGTGAAATCAATCATGCAGCCCAGTCGGTTCTCTTTAATTTGGACAAAGAAAGGTCAGAGTTAAGTGTCCATGTTATGGAGGTGTTTGTATCAACTATAGAAACAGATCTAATTCTGGTTTTAGGGACTATGTGAATTGTCTGCAAGAAAAGAAAGTCTACAAGGGGAGGTTCTATACAAATGAACTCATTGTCATCTCTCTTCACACCAGTACGCAAATACGGCCTCTAATGAACTGCAGCTTTTCTTGTGGTACAGTAATCATTACTGGGGTTATTATGCATATCAAACTCAAATTTCACTGACCTGCTAAGGTAATTCTCAGCAGTGTCGTCTGGTTCAAGAGGATGCTGCTGAGTCTCATGTCTCTGGTAATTGTCACGCAAGTTCTCTCCAAACTGATCTGGAGTTAAGCCAAACTTTCTGGCCAAACCACTAACACCTTTGTGTGGGACAAAACAAGTTTCATTACAGGAGTTCTTGCTGACACAGTGCAAACCAACAAATTAATGAGAACAGCACAAGCCTCAGATAAAGCCTCTTACCTGCTTGTCTACATATAGTGTAAAGATCACGCTTTGCTGGCATTTTCTGTTTTTGTGGTGTGACTTTTGTTTCACCATCAGCCTCCTCACCCTCAGCTGATTGACTCTTTTTCCTCTTGACTTCCCACATGGCAGGGATGTCGTTTTTGTAGTACAACATAAAGTGACTGTACACATCTTTTAGTTGTTCCATGGTCTCAACTTCATCTAGCCTAAGAAACAGAAGTAAGCCACTTTAGTTTTAGTCATACTGAGCAAATGAACCCTTAAAGGTTATAATGCCTGTTTTCCTTACTGTTATCTTATTTCTAGCATACATTTCTTTCATCTTTAACAGTCAGAATTTGGCAATACTGAGACAGTGACCCTTGTGGTCTGCAACCATAAAATAATTGATGCGAAGAGATGTAAGTTGCCCTTCACTGCACTGTTAAGGTGGCCTTGTTTACGGGTGATATCCATCATCTAGAGATGATACCTGTCAATATCCTCTGCCTGCAAAATTCTTGTATCATCTTCAAGAGGCTGGTCACCACTCTCTTGGATCTTGTTAAACTGGTAATCCTGCATTTCTTGAAATAGACGATGGAGATTCTCTTTACGAGTGCGAAGCTGGCACCACTGAGAATGAAAATATGAATTAAAATAATTATGCCCAGCTCACTATCAGCAATGTACATGGGACAAAATGCAAAAAAAAAAAAAAGCAACAAAGAAATTGTTGCTTTTCAGCAATACCTTTTCATCCCATTCCCAGATTTTCCACAGGTCTTCAATATTCAGTTCAGGCTCAATGTACTCTTTTCTATAGTTAGCAATGAATGGAACCTGCAAAAGTCATCACCATTTTATTTCTCCTAAGAATATTGATGTGTGATCAAGCAGAAAGGTGAGAAGAATAATCAAACACATCAACTCGGAGATATTGCTGTCAAGTAACAGTAACTCCCAGAGCATCTTTTCACCATCAATGTTAGGCTGCTGCTCTAAAAAACTAATTTCTAATCTGACTTCAAGTTTAGACTGTCATCTGTGAGTGAAGTAGCTGAGAAAATGGAGTCTAAACAGAAGTGTAATCAGTTTATTCTGAATTTCATCCTTCATCTTGCTTTTTACAAGAAGGTCAAGAAATACCAAGATGTATGATGTATGCACAGAGCTATAATGTTATACTATTCTTTGTATAAACGTAACAAAGGGAAGTACTGCAAAGTAACATTTTGAGAAAACCTCAAAGAGTTGGTTCCTCATCAGGTTCAAAGCTTCCCTGATTTTGCCAACAAAAGCCTCCTTTCTCTCCTCATCATTACTGTAAGCTTTGGGTGTTCTGGAGTGAGAGTGGATATCACCATCAAGACGATCCTGCAATATACAATGCATGTGTGATGATGATTAATTCATACGTTTTAAAATATATAATAGAGTGGAAGCTCTCCAAAGCAGACACTATCTGGACCTGAAAAAGGTGTCCATAACTACTGTAGTAGGGCTGCAATGATACAATTTCTCACGATACGATACATATCTTGATACAAGTGCTATGATACAATACACGATATGATACATCATTACATACAACTAACAGGAAAAGAAGAGCTGCAAACAACGGGGTAGTGACGAGCCATGTGTTTTGTCTGTAGGTGCATAAGACTGTGTCAGCTGAGAACTAACTGGAACAGTGCAAGCTTTTGGGCCGCCATCTTGAAAGATACGTCACCAAAAGCACGCAAAGCATACAAAGCAAAGATGGCACTTTTTCTCCTTTCCCGCGTCCCTTTGTTTGAAAAATAGCTCTGAAAGGGCTTGGACTTGGGTAAGGAGTCATACAAGACAGTTATTTCTGAGTGTTAAATATTTTATTCATGAAGAATCAGAACATCATAATGTCGCGTTATCTTGTCAATTCACCAATGGATAGGTGTATCGTTGCATCACTAATAACTAGAACTGACCATTGATGATCGAATGGTTCTCATGAGCAACTAGTAGAGGTGTAAGGAACAGAGAGTTGTTTACGGGAATTGTCACCAACATTAGTAACATTAACAGTCTAACTGCAACAAAATGCAGTGGTACAGTTTACAAAATAATGTTTAAATGCACTGTAAAATCATTGTGACACATAGTGACTGGAAGTTCACTGATTCTAAAAAGTAAGATTCAGAGGCTAACAGGATTTCCTTTCAGCTGTCCACTTACAGCCTGAACTTAAAAACAAAGGAAAAACTTGTCTAGATCACAAGACTTTGTGGCCNCAAATTTTTACAATAATATTTTATTTCCTCGTTTTCTACTTGGGTGTTATTTAAATAATTAAATTAAAAAAAAACAACTTGAAGTTTGTCAAAAATACTCCATCATACATGCGTCATATGTTCAACTCTCTTCTCTGAGTTGAAATTATTATAAACTGTGTCTTGTGTTTTTCATATATTACATCCCTTACAGTAAGTACGTAAAGCTTCACCTTTTCAAAACAAATAATCAATTTCTTGCAGCATACCTGAAATCTTTCAGGAATATCTGCAGTTCTAATTTCATTGTCTTTGTTGGTTAACATTCCTTTCTCAAGCTCACTTGGTTCAAATACCTGTGACCAAAAAAAACATCACTTAGTTACGTCACACCCTGCTTAATCATTCTTTCTCAGGACAGGAGTAGAGCAAAATGACTCTGCTCTCCCTCTTCTAGAGGGAATTGTCAAGAAAAAGTTAACTTTCTGTCACTGTACATGTACTATTTTTATGAGAAAGATCCACTTTTGGTATCATGTAACCTGCATGAGGTATAAATATTAACTTTAAATGATTAGACTAAAAACTTGAGGTGTTAAGTTAGTTCTGCATATTATTGCAATAACTGTAAATTACTGGACAGCATCTATGTTGGACTCGTCATACCCTGCAATACAAACACTGTCAGTTAAGCAGATACTCACTTCATAAATGGATTTCTTGGTTGACTTCTTTTTTGGTCTTCTTAGTGCACCATCTTCTTCATCCTCTTCTTCATATTCATCCTCATCCTCTTCTGACAAGAAATCATCTCTTCCATACTTCTCAAATTCGTCAAAATCAAAGTCAAGACCAAAGATATCTTGAGCTTCCATAAGAGCACTGATGGATAAATGTGACATTGTATCAACACTAACGAGTCATCATCATCATTGTATGTTTCCAAAGAGAGAAGTATACATCAATTAGACAGGGTGAAAAGACTTTCAAAAAAACCACTAGCAATATCACACAAAAGCTGACATTATACTATAATAATAATAATAATACCATAATGATAGGATTTAGTGCACAAGGCACTTATTTACTTTTAGTACTTCAAGGGAGGGCGCTTATTCAAGTCTGACAGGGCACTTATTCAGGACAGGACGCCTATTTCTTTTTTGAGAAACAATCGAATGTTCAAAACAAAACTTGAAGAGTAGATCATTCGTTTGAAGGAATAATAATTATTATGCACTCAAATGGACATAATAGTTGTGGGAAACTCAGATGAAGACCACTGTTTTTGTAATCTGGCATTATGTATGTGAGCAGTTAAGGAAGATGAACCTCTGTTGATACGTACTCTGACCGCACTGTAATATTTGAATATTTGAATAGAGGCGCTTATTAGAATGGGGGCGCTTATTGGAATAAGGGTGCTTATTAATAAAAACACATTCGAAGGGGGTGGGGGCACTTATTGGAAGGAGGGTGCTAAATCGAATAATTATGGTGATAATAATTTTTATAATAATGATGACGATGATGATAATAATAATAATAATAATAATAACAATTATATTAGTAAATTATGTTCCTTTTAAACACTTACGAGTCTCGCACTGTTCCGGGAAGTCTTCGCTTTTTCTTGGAATGTTTATTTATAGGGTTCCCATCGTCATCCACAATGAAATCATCCACATCATCTATAAAAATAATATAAAAATATGTTATTGCAGGAGTAACAGAGGCACAATAATTAGCACAATATTTGCCCTAGACTTCGGAATTGGTGGTCTTGCATTTTTGTCACCGAGAGACCATTTAATAGGCTTCTCATCTCCCTATTACTGCAACAAAACTATCATATTGAGCTTCCCTTGATTTGACGACAACTTATACATTCTAAGACTAAAACAGTGTATAAGAAAGTGCAACATATAACAGCAACATTAACTTTAGAGTAATTTAATTTATACATGTACTACAGAGACATCTTGAGCTTGGTTCTACATGCAACTAATGTAACTGTGACACAGTCCACGGTACAAACTACGATACTGTAGCATTATGAGACCATGAACCACAAACATCAAAAGCTATTTCAGGTCTTTATCATCATTAGGGAGCTTAGGCAACGACGATGACAGCGCCGAGGATGACGCCTAGTAAAAAATGAATTTATATTTTACAAGCAAACTTCATGATTGTCTAGATCTGTTTGGTATGCCAATAGCTCTAAAAACATGCTTAAGCTAAACATGCAATGACGGTGTTCAATTCCCAATGGAAATACAAAAAATAAGCGGTCGTCATTCACGTTCCATAGATGATGCAGAACTTGGTCATTTCACGTTGTTGTTTTGCAAAAGACGGCAAAGAAATGTACAAAATTTGTAACGCATGCGCACAGCTATTGTTTTGCTTGTTAAACCTTTTGTTTGGTTACGTTCTCTTTGCCGTCATCGTCGCGGTTTGCTTAAGGTCCCTAATGCGCCATGAAGCTCAACTCAATTGTATGACGCAGGCACATTGGAGGTAATTCTGGCTTTATGTAAAAGAAAAAAAAAAAAAACCTAATGATATCAAACATGTAACTGTTGATATACCAGCGAAGAATCTATCCTAGAATTCTAGTTACTTTCAAAGATTGTGGAGAACAAGGAAAATTCAAACAAAGTTAGCTGTTGCACACTTTATGTAGTGAACTGGGTGCTTCATCCCAGGTAAAAGAGGAGCTTTACACCACTGCTGGCAACTGACTTGCATGTACGTCAAAGAGTCATATCAGTAAAAGGATTTACCTTCATCTGATTCAGAGTCTTCTATGTTTGCATATGTATCATCAGCTTCAGGCTGGACTGGTTCTGCTTGAACCTAAGAATGATGAAGAAAACCTTCAGCTTGGTCTGTGAAAAGTTTTCTTTGCTGAGTTATTATCACACATTCTTTCTAGATTCTAAATACCAAATGTTGCCTAGTTCACATGCTTCACATAGTTTATAATAATAAGTTTAATAATTAACTTTATGAGGGCCAATTCACTACAGCTTTGAGCAGACTGAACTTTCATGAAGTGAGCTAAATGTGATTTTTCTTTCCATTAACCCCTAACACCACTGATATAATTAAAATATATCTACTACAATCTCTAATCTGGACTACATGTATACAGATCTATAGTTGACTTTGACAAAGACATAGCTACATCTAAAGTTTTAGAATATTATCCTCTTCTCCATTCACAAGAACAAATTAAACTGTGTTCACACCAGGCTGATCACGATTGAAACGTGTTTCATTATGAAGAGTGTTCACATCAGACAGTGCATTGTGCAAATCATGGCTGAAACATGATTATTCTGAGCATCATTAAAACAACCTTGCGAGGTAGTTTCAATCACAATCAGACCAAATACATTCAAAATGGCGGATGGATGCAGAGAGGAGGCGAGTACCCAAAAAACCAAAATTGGGGCTGTTATGGGGCGAAATGTCTAGTTGAAATATGGGTCAATGAAGAAATACAACGGGAATTATCGGCAATGGGTAGAAACCAGAATATTTGGGAGAACATTGCTGCAAAACTTAAGAAGTGTAAAAAATTTATGCGAGTAACATCAAACAGCATAAATTATACATTACTGTGAATGAAAATGTGTTTGAAACCGACATCTGATGTGAACAATGCAATAAGAAACATGTTTAGGCAAAACATATTTCCTTGAAACATGTTAACTCTAATCATGTTTTGGCTTTAATGTGAACACAGCTTTAATGTGAACACAGCTTTAATGTGAACACAGCTTTAATGTGAACACAGCTTTAATGTGAACACAGCTTTAGCAAATCAAAAAAATACAGTTTGACTGGATGAGCCATGTTTATTAATTTTTTATGATTATTACAAGCAAAGAAGATTAATATTTGCTTTTTTTTTTCCACTCACATAATATAGTAAAAAAAATGTTAGAACTTGCTTGAAGGAAATAAATGGAAACAACAATTTCTATACAAAGCCATGATAACCTTCGTGGCAGTTTGTAGAGGTCAAAAAAGATGTGAAACCACGTCTTTTTTACAGGGCAAAAAAGAGAACAAAATATATAATTTATATAAAAAACCTACATCAAAATTCCCATTCTGAACATTATTATTCAAAATTGGTTTTATTTGTGATAAAGAAAATTAAGAATTTTCTCAATAGTACATCTCTGTCAGGGTCATAACATAAAATACAGAGGAAGAATCTGTTTTGGAGCTTACTAACAATTCATTTATCTAAAGCATTCACTAGTATTTTTAATCCCGCTTGGATTAATTTCTTATCTGTGAAACTTTGCTTGTAAACTTAACACAAATTTAAGTCAGCAGGTAAAGTAAGTACTGAGGGTTGTCGCACCTCATTCAAAATAGCGATCAATAAGCAATCTCTGCACATATAAAGACAGAGGGGAGCATTTACATTCACCTCCTTGGGGAGAAGGAGATAACTCCAGAAAATTTTTGTTAAGGAGTGAAACCCACACCCTATTTCAGATGAAAATATGCGTGATTTTCAAAACCCTATTTGAGACCTAACCAAACAAATTGATATACAATTCCAGACCAAGAGAGCACAAAACAAATATTTTGGAGTATAATGGATTTACAACCATACTATTTAATGCTACATCTATTCTCCTACTCCAAGAGTGAGCTCTACTATATGTATCTCCTGTTATTTTTACCGTAAAATCCACAGAGCATGAACACTTCGATTTGATTTTGACATGACATTGTCACAAATCAGATGGTAAATCAAGCCAACGAGGGTTTCTTGGATATTTATCTTACATCAGATTCATTTTCCTTCAAAATGCAAAAACATGCCAGAAATAGTTTTTGTGTTCATGCTTTTCAGATTTGCACTGCAGCTATGTTCAACATTCAGTACCTCACCAGCATCTTCACCACCCTCAAAGAGTTGATTAGCAATTGCTTCTCGCTGAGTCACTGCAGAATCACCAGCAGCCTGTTCCTCCTCTTCTTCATCAGAATCAAGCAATTTCACTTTCTTTAAACGAGGCTTTTTCTGAAATAAAATATGTTTGATCACTTTGATAAATAAATAATCTATCAAGTGTTGCCTTCTTGTAGCCAAGAATTATTTTTGATATGTCAAGCGCCAATTTATAAGCTTTCATTGTTTCACGCACGATGAAGATGGAATTTTCCACATCCAGTAATATACGAGTTCTTACTAAACCGTCCTCGAGTGAAAAGACAAAGAAAAATCTTAAAATAACTACAGAGAGGTTCTCACCCGCTGTAAACGGATGCCTAAGTTCTCTTCGATCAAAGACAAATCTTCTTCGTCCAGCTCTTCGGCCTCATCTAAAACACATCACGAAAATCTTTCAAATCAGCTGAAAACACACTTACATTAATCAATTGTTAGCGAATTATATTATGATTGTTTAATTGTGTTTAATTTATATGCTGTACCCTTTCTACGTTTTCTATGATGATGTCCGTGATGAGAATCTTCTTCGTCTCCGCCGCTTTCTTCTTCTTCGTCATTTATGATGTCGTTCGCATCATCCGGCCGACCTTCGTCTTCCTCTTCACCGTCGTCGTCTTCTTCGTCTTCGTCCTCGTCGCCGTCGCTTTTTTCTGAGAGACTTTCATCTAAAGAGTCTTCCTCGGCTTCGCTGTCGCCAAATTTTGACATGACGAAGGGTAACACAAGAAGAAGCGAACACGAGGGAAAGAAGCGTTGGGAGGATTCGAGAGAAGATAGCAAAATGGCGAAAACTAAAGACGATGAAAGCTGGGCCCGAGTTTAGCTACCAGTCTACGAGTCCTGGACGCGGCACGGTTGTAGCGAAAACGAAGAGCCCCCGAAAACGAAGACCGAAGATCGATGTCGTCCCCTTGGAGAAAGCTCTGTATCAATACACCTAAAGTGAGAATTCGATTAGACCTTACCTTGCAGGGTGGACAGTCCTTCAGATGGAGGGAGACGGCACCAGGCGAGTGGACTAATGTTTTGTGTGGCTTCGTCTGGACGCTAAAACAAAGCGAAAATGATATATTCTACCGGGTGTACAAGTCAGTCATTGAAAAAAGCAAGCGAATCTTAAAAGAAACCTGTTTCTCGCCAGGAAATAAAACTGGCTGTCATGTAACCGACAAAACGTCTAACATCTATGAATCAATTTTACGAGACTATTTTCAGCTTGATGTGGATACCCACTCTCTTTTGGAGCAGTGGGGAAGTCGAGACCCTTACTTTGTTAAAGTTTCAGAGAACATGCCAGGTGTTCGAGTTCTAAGACAAGATCCGGTAGAAACTTTGTTTGCTTTTATATGTTCGTCAAATAATAATATCCCGCGTATTAGTGGAATGGTTGAAAAACTTTGTCAGGAGTATGGAGACAAGCTTGGAGACCTTGGTGGTGTTGCTTACTATGCCTTCCCTGACATGAAAGATTTGAAAGGTTCAGTAGTTGAGCAACACTTGCGATCTGTTGGATTTGGATATCGAGCAAAGTTTATAAGTCAGTGTGCAAGCTACATTCTGCAGCACCATGACAGCAAGTGGCTTGAAGGCTTGCGAAGTGTATCTTATGAGGA